AAAAACTTAGCCATCCCATTTTATGGTGAAGGAAACCAAAGTTTCTTTTAAGGGGCACGTATCAACTCAATTCAGAAAATCATTCGTTAAATTATCAGAGAAATGCAAATCAAAACTACAATGAGGTATCACCTCACACCAGTCAGAATGGCCATCATTAAGAAGTCCACAAACGATAAATGCTGGAGAGGGTGTGGAGAAAAGGGACCCTCCTACACTGCTGGTGGCAATGTAGTTTGGTGCAGCCATTATGGAAAACAGCATGGAGATTCCTCAGAAACTAAAAATAGATTTACCATATGATCCAGCAACCCCACTCCTGGGCATATATCTGGAGGGAACTGTAATTCGAAAAGGTACATGCACCCCAGTGTTCACAGCAGCACTATTTACAATAGCCAAGACATGGAAACAACCTAAATGTCCATCAACAGATGGCTGGATAAAGAAGCTGTGGTATATTTATACAATGGATACTACTCAGACATAAGAAAGAATAAAATAATGCCATTTACAGCAACATGGATGGACCTGGAGATCGTCATGCTAAGTGAAATAAGCCAGAAAGAGAAAGAAAAATACCGTATGATATCACTTATATATGGAATCTAAAAAAAAAAAAAAAGATACAAATGAACTTATTTACAAAACAGAAACAGACTCACAGATATAGAAAACAAATTTATAGTTACTAGGAGGAAGGGGATGGGAAGGGATAAACTGGGAGTTTGAGTTTTTCAGATACTAACTGTTATATATAAAACAGATAAACAAGTTTCTTCTGTACAGCACAGGGAACTATTGAAAAAAAGAGAGAGAGAGAAAATGGCTAGTTATAGCAAGCCCATCTTATCCAATAGAATGATTGGTGCCACTTTGCTTAGCTCTGTCGTGGAATGAGTCAGGTTTCTACGCTTCTTAAGAAACAAAAATGGATTCTACTGACATCAAACACTTCTTTAAACATAGAAGCAAGTCCCCTAATGCTCAGTCTGGAGAGCCTGCTTGTTCGATCCAACCCTCTGGCTCAGGGCCGTGCAGCCCCTCTGCCCCTCTCCGCCCGTCCCGCCTGCCCACTGCTGGACAGCTCCACGCCAGCAGCGCCCAAGCCCAGAAGGGCCGTGCCAGTCGTTTTGGAGCCCCAGGGGCCGTGGAATGGGACACTGGAGGGAGTGGATGTGGCTTTACTGGAGATAGTAAAGCCTTTGTGAGGAGCCCTGGGCAGGAATATTGTAACAAGAATTAAAGTATCACATGGGGTTAGAGTTGACTTTTCAAAATCCCTGAATTACATAAATGTATCATTAAGGGATTAGAAAGGGTGCGCCCTGGGAACCACCACCGAGGTCAGTTAGAACAATGTGCCAGCCCTCTCGATGCCCCCTGGATTTTTTGTTGCCATTCCACAAATACTAAATGTCCATCTACTTCTGCCCGATGCTGTGCTGGTGCGCAAATTTAGAGAAGTGGATGGAAATAGAGAGCCTTTGCCTTCACGGAGTTTGCTGGCCATCAACACAGTGTGTTTTAAGCAATTATTGGACTGTGCCAACCGTTTAACCTGAATGCTTTTATTTTCTTAATTCAATATTCTTTTGACCATATCTTTGTTTTACAGATGAAGAAACTCAACAATCTATGTCTTCTCAACCCCAGGCATCCATTATTCTTTGACTCAAAACTTGACCCACGTTGGGTGGAGGGGTATAGCCCAGTAGTAGAGCATGTGCTTGATGTGTGCAAGGTCCTGGGTTCAATCCCCAGTTCCTCCATTAAGGGGAAAAAATTTTAAAAATAATAATAAATGAAATAGGAACAAGTATATGTTAAAAAAAAAGAAAGAAAATTTGACCCAAATAATTTAATAGAAGGATAGAAAAGGGTGGGGAATGTAGAAATGCTCACAGTATCTAGTCTCATTTTCACTTTATTTCTCAGGCCTCTATAAAACCAAAGTGTGGGCGCATGATCAGCTTCTCATCTGGAGGAGAGAACCCACATGGGGTGAAGGCAGTCACCAAGGGCCAGAGGTGTGCGGTGGCTTTGTGGTTTACCTTGGACCCACTTTACAGAGAACTGGTGAGTCTCTGACCCGCCCGGAAAGTCAATGAGACATCCTGTAGACCTGCTTCATGAACTGATTTATTTGAAAATTCCTTTAAGTTGATCCATAACCCTTCAGGGAATTTAGAGACCACGGGGCGGGTAGAAGGCTTTAACAGAATTTTTCTCTCTGATTTCCAGCCCTGGCTGTTTTCTCAGTGAGAACACATTATCTTAATCAGATCCATGACCTAGCAATTACACATCGAATGTTTGCAGGATGAGTTTGGGGGACAGAAGAGGGGCTATGACGGCAATTCTTCATCAGATGGGTTCTAATGAGGGAATGTTTGCCGAAATAGACATTGGTGATATCTCGCAGTCTCTGATTCGTCTTGAGCACATTAACAAGCTGTAGCATCAGGAGAGAGGGACCGCTTTCTACTGGTCACCAGGAAGACTGCTTTGTTTTCTTGACAAATCATTAAAAATTTACTGAATAAATTGTGAAATATATGTAGAAAAGGGCGAGGGAACCTGAAAGCTTATAATTTACTATTATTAAATTAAATATTAAAATACAGCTGTTATTATACTGGAAGCAGCTGAGGACACAGCTCAGATAAGCGGCCAGGAGCTCATCCTTCTGGAGGTCACTGGGCAGAGGTTAGAGCATCTATCTGTGAAGTGCAGAGGGATGAATTAAGACCCGTGGATACAAGCCGCTGGGAGGAAACTCTGGGCTCAATGAAAGGAATAACTTCCAGATTGTCACCGCTGTCGGGGGTGTTGTCTTCTTTGGAAGTACTGAGTTTCTTGTCCCTGGATAGCTCCAGTCAGAGCCTCAGTGACTGCCTGGCCTGGGATGCTGAAGCAAACTGAAACGTCACAGCAAGACCTAAACGGGGTGACTTCAAAGTCGGCTCCACCCCTGAGTCTTAACGAAGCCAGGAAACTCTAGCCTTTAAAATGGCCTTCTATCCAGTTTTCCTCTTTAGGTCCCTCCATTGAATCCAATTTCGTCTGAAACTGTTTAAAATGAATTCCTTTTTCTCATAGACCCTTTGCTGTCAAACCTAACTCAGGCACAGTTTTTAGGCCGCATGCCCTAAGCATTCCCTTTTTTTCAAGTGGTGTCATAAAACTGATTACATTTCTTTTCTTTTCTTTTAATTTCAGAGGGTTTTTTGTTGTTGTTGAAGTATAGTCAGTTTACAGTGTGTCAATTTCTGGTGTACAGCATGTTTCAGTCATACATATATATACACATACGTATTTTCATTTTCACATTCTTTTGTGGTAGGTTACTACAAGATATTGAATGCAGTTCCCTGTGCTGTACAGTATGAACTTGCTGTTCATCTATTTTATATATAGTAGTTAGTGCCTGCAAATCTTGAATCCCCAATTTACCCCTTCCCGCCCCCTTCTCCCCTGGTAACCGGAAGTTTGTTTTTGACGTCTGTGCATCTGTTTCTGTTTTGTAAATAAGTTAATTCTTTCATATAGTTCACAAACGTTTAGGGAAGATCTACTATGTGCCTGGAAAACTCCTCTAGGCAGGCCCGGGGGTACAAAGGTTTTCAAAATGTAGCTTCCAGCCATAAGGCGTTTGGAGAGACAGACAAGGAACTACGGTGGGAAGACAGCAGTACGTGTTGGGATCTGAGATGGAGGAAGGCTGACTTACAAAAGCACAGTCCGAAAGGCGCGTAAGATGACAACCAGGCACAGAAAGAGAAAGGAGTGGTCGTGACAGAGGGAACAGAACACCAGGGCTCTGAGAACTTCAAGGGGGACTGAGCCATCTCCTTCACCTGTCATTCCCCTCGTTCCTTGTGCGTCTCTACCTCCAAAATGCCAGCGCTTCCCAATAGCGCTCCTTCTGACTCAGGAATCCAGGACGTGAGTACACAGTGGAGATAACACAGTGGTAAAAAGTCGCCTCAGCTTTTCCTCTTTAGTGTCCAGTTCAGCAGGCATTTAGCCGATCTGATTATTCAATATCCTAGTCCTCTCTCCCAAAATACGTATTTTTTCCTATCAAAATAAGCTAACACAAAGTTCCTTTTGCTCTGTCTTAACCTGGAAAATATGCGGAAACTTCTCCAACCGCCCGGCCGTTGGCGCCATCTAGTGGTCACAGGAGAAAATGACCAGAGCCTCAGGCAACCAGTAGAAAATGTTGTCGCTGGGATTCCCACACTTAGCTCAGCGTTGGAATCGCCTGGGGATCTTTACAAACGACTGACCGCTGGCACTCACCCTTGGCAATTCTGGGTTAATTGGTATGGGTGTAACTTGGGTTTGTGCAACAGAATTTGAGAGTCCCAGAGTTAGGATCCTCCTCTCAGATTGAGTCCCTGAGCCAAGAAAGCCTGCTTGTGAAGAGGCCACCATAGCTGGCGGACTTCCATGCTCATTACAGGTTACTTTAAAGGCGCTGAATTCTCCAGGAGTACTTAGCATCGTAAACTCTTAAGGATGCCCGAGGTTAGAAGCTTCAGTTCCTTGTATAGAGAGTTCTTGAACTTCCTTCCTTTCAGGAGAGACGTGACTTCGAACAGTCTCTTGTGCAGTCAGACTGGAACACTGTATATACGTCACATTTGCTCATCAGCAAGGTGTTCTCCCATCTTCACAAAATAGTACTCCAGCATTTCACTCGGGCATCATGGCAACAATTCAGTTTCCTGTTATTTAGTATATTTGGTCGTTTTAGGTACCTTTATGTCAACATCATGTTCAATTACAAAGCTCTTGAATACGAGCTTTTCAAGTCATAAAATAGTTCTTTCTATAACTTACTGTGCTGGGCATTGTTCTAGGGACTGCCTATGGGAGGTACAAACTAGGTGAGACATGACTTTTATTTTCAAGGAGCTTGAAGTCAAAGTGAAGAGCTACTACAAGGGTCTCAGTAGTTAAAACACAAAGCAAAGTTTGGTGAGAATTATTATCAGACGCCAAAACGTGCATGGTGTTTCAAGGATAGAAGGAGGAAACCAGGAAAGTCTTCATTAAGGAGACGGCATCTGACCTGAGCCTTAAAAGGTGAGCATGATTTCTTTAGGGAGAGACATTCTACGAGAGAGAGAGCCTTTATCTAAGTATGTCTTTATTCACCAGCTTCATTCATTGACAGCCTCTGCCAAATGTCGGCAGCTTTTCTGGGCACAGGAAATACAACAGTGACCAAAAATGACAAGATTCCATGCTCTTCTCTCATACTTGGCTCTGCCGGCTAATTATTAGAGAAATGCAAATCAGAACTACAATGACGTATCCCCTCACACCAGTCAGAACGGCCATCATTAAAGTCCACAAATGACAAATACTGGAGAAGGTGTGGCGAAAAGGGAACCCTCCTACACTGCTGGTGGGAATGTAAATTGGTGCAGCCACTATGGAAAACAGTATGGAAGTTCTTTGGAAAACTAAAAATAGAGTTATCCTATGATCCAGCAATCCCATTCCTGGGCTTATATCCAGAGAAAACTCTAATTTGAAAAGATGCATGCACCCCAATGTTCGCAGTGGCAGTATTTACAATAGCCAAGACATGGAAACAACCTAAATGTCCACCAACAGATGACTGGATAAAGAAGTTGTGGTATATTTATACAATGGAATACTACTCAGCCATAAAAAATAAAATAATGCCATTTGCACCAACATGGATGGACCTAGAGGTTATTATAATAAGTGAAGTAAGACAAATATCATAGACTATCACTTATATGTGGAATATAGACAAAAAGATACAAATGAACTTATTTACAAACCAGAAATATACTAACAGACATAGAAAACAAACTATGGTTACCAAAAGGGAAAAGGTTGGGAGAGATTAATTAGGGGTTGGGGATTAAGAGACATCGATGAGTATATATAAAATAGAAAAACAGCAAGGACCTACTGTTAGCACAGGGAACTATATTCAATAACTAGTAATGACATGTAATGGAAAAGCATCTGAAAAAGAATATATATATGTGCATATGTGTATAATTGACTCACTTTGCTGTACACTCAAAACTAACGCAATGTTATAAATCAACTATACTTCAATAAAAAAAAGAAAAAGAGAGACAACAAATAAGTAAAAGAATAAACATTTGAGGGATTATCAGATAGTGAGAAATGATGTGTGGGAAAGGGAACAAGGCAACTGATTTGAGAGCGGAGAGTGGTCTGAAAAGAGGACATGGAGGAGGCAGCGGTTAGACTTGACAAGCTGGTCAAGAAATAAGAATTCTCTTCTAACTGTAGGAGGAAGCTATGTGCCCTCCCTCCCCAACTTCCCCCAGTCCCGGGAAGGTACAGGATGGGACAGATTGCTGCAGCTAGCAGGTCGTAGACTGGAGTCATAACAGAGAAGGTGAAAAGATGCAGGAGGCTGGAGATGCCACGCGGGGGGAGACTGGGCATGTTGAAGGGTTGCTGTAGGGGTGAGAGACGCACAGGATGTAGTGAAACATCCTTTAAATCCTCGGGGCATTTAACCTAGACTAGGTTGGGGAAGTTCTTCTCAGAGTGTCGTGTTCAGAGCCCACGTCAGGCAGGTGGAGTGTGAGGTGAGATGAGGGGACAGGACAAGATGAGGTGAAGAAAAGAAGAAGGTCAAAGTCAGGCAACTCCTCATAAGCACATCAGGAAGGCTGGACCTGGAGTGTGAAGCGCTGGGAACCCATGCCCGGCCATGAGCAGTGAGCAGGAGAGGGAGGCGGTCACGATTCAAGTGCAGAGCGTCCCTCACGAGCACATGGAGGGGGATGTGAAATGGAGAGATGAGTTTGGAAGTTGCTGCAGCAATTGTGTTAAGAGATACTGGAGTGTAAACCTCAAGCAGGAGCAATTTTGCCTCCTAGGGTGCACGTGGCAACATTGAGAGACGCTTTTGATTGTCACGGCTTGTGGGGAGGTGTTTCTGGCTCCCTGTAGTCGAGAGAAGCCAGGGAGGCTGCCGAATGTCTTCTGATGCACGAACAGAGTTGTCTGGTCCCAGATGCCAGCAGTGCCAAGGCTGAGAAACACTGGCCTCAGCTAAGGCAACAGCAGTGTGCACTGAAAAGAAAGGGGCGGGAAAAGGAGGCAGAACAGAGGGTACTCGGTGATTTGTCAGATCCAAGGAGCCATGGTCAGGCTTTGTGGGGCAAGTGGATGAGCCGCGCTGGTCTTTACTAAGAGAGGAAATACATGAAGAGGACAGAGTAAGTCCACGGGGGCGGGGGGGGGGGAAGATGGTGAATTCAGCGTGAACCCTGAGCTGGAGAACTGGGTTGGAGATGTCCGTGGAACCACAAAGTAGAGAGGACAGTCAGCAGTTGAATATACAAGACTTCTTGGCCAGAGAGAAATCTTGGCAAATCAGGAAGAAAGGAAGCCAAGAGAATGCGCCTGTGTCAGGATGGAGATGAGGTTCTGTCCTTAGCTGGATTTAGCATCAAGCCATGTACAGATGGGCGCCCAGAAGTGTTTGGGAAGCATCTGGCGCTGGGGCTGGCGGTATCCTTGTACCAGCAATGTGTAAATTGTTCTTTTTGCAGGAGCGAATACAGGCGGATGAAGTGATCGCCATCCTGGATCAAGAACAGCAAGGGAAGCATGAACTGAATATCAACCCCAAAGATGAGCTATAAAAATGAGGGGGGGGTAAAGAGTGTTCTATCAGATATTTATTTAAATTGTTAATCTTATGAGAACCTTTTTATTTTTGTACAGAGCCACGATATAAATTAATAGGTTAATATGAGTCACCGGATCTCCCTTCTGTTCCTAAGGATCTTTGCTTGGCTCAGTCAAGTCTGTCTGTCTTGGTTTTTCATCAGTTCATCTCTCAACTCCCAGTCCCCTCTCCCCACCATA